TTTCTTCTGCAAATATAAATGCTCATTAAAAAAACATAAAAAATCATTGACTTTCACCAGGAATTGAAGATTAATAAGCATAATGAGATTCCAATAGTGGTTTGAAGTTTAAAGTGTATATTGAGAAAGGCAAAATTGCTGATCTTACGTGCGAAAATTTCATACAACTCTGATATGGTCGAGTCGTTGCAAGGAATCTCATGGCAGGTTCTCAATCTCAAAGCCTCAACACAACTATCGGAGCCACCACGGCAACACCACCATCAATCCCCACTATGGGGATTGTCTCCCAAATATCATCTGAATGGATAAATCATGTTCAACAATTGAACAATCAGGAAACAACAACCATGCAGATAATGTTGCACAAGCAACAAAACTTAATATTGAACATGTTAGATCAAGCCCTGTCAAGAGTTATACTTCACTCCATGCTTTAACCTTCAGGAATGTCTCCGTCGCGCCTTGAGGCAAATTTTGCAGGGGCGTCGTTCGTGGATAACACCATTCCAAGTGCTATCTTAGGGCCGTCATTCGTGGAAAACATAATTCCAAGTGCTATCGCAGGGCCGTCATTCGTGTACAGCACCATCCCAAGTGTAATCGCAGGGCCTTTGTTCGTGAATAACACCATTTCAAGTGCTACAGCCCCTAGTAGGCAGAGAGAGAGAAAACTCCCCTCACTTTCTGAATAATATCCTTTTGGGGACTCGGCCTGAGCCGTTTCAACATAGGGATGAACGACCTGAAAGGGATGACTGACCTGGAGGTCATCCTCATTATCCCATTTCAGTTCTAGATCATCATCCGGTCGGATTGGACCCAAACGACATCGCACATGAGCCATCACTAGGAGAAGACGGTTGACCTCATATGGGAAGGATTAGAGACAGCCGTCCAACGGGAGGTCGGTTGGCTTCATGATATGTTTGTCAGACTCCTCTCCAATGGAAAGTTGGTTGGCCTCATGAGAGTCAACCACTGGTTTGCCGGCTTCGGAAGGGCCAGCTGCTGGGGAACCCAAAGACAGGAGCCCAACTAATAGAGGATTGGTGGCCAGAAGGTCAACTGTTGGTGGGTTCTCAGGAGAAGCCGGTAGTGTGGTCAGGCAAAAGAGCCAGGAATACCTTGTCGACAACCGAATTGATACGCAAGAAAATGGGGTTGGTAGTTAAAGACTCCCAATGGTTGTTGCAGACTCCCAACTGCCATTTCTTGCGCCGATCGAGAGTAACTTTTGGGAGTCAGAGGGGGAGGAAGCAAGTCGTTGAGCAAAAAAAAAAAAAATAAGGTTAGGGTTTGAGCTCAGGAAGAATGAATAAATGAGCCCAATGGCGATCGAGTGGAGGGCCACAATCATTTGGTCGGATGGTTGTTGGGGCTAGGCCGGTCGGATAGTTGCCCCTACAGACAGTTTTCATCTGAGTTTGGCCCTTGGGACGGCTACAAAGGTAACCGACGTGGAAGCAGTTTTTTGAACGGTTCAGATCAGTAACCGACGAGGAAGCGGTTTTTTACGGTTACCAACGTGGAAGCAGTTTTCAAGGGTAACCGACATTGAAACGATCTCGGACGGTTTGGTTTGATACGTATATGAGCAGCCTCGATGACAAAGGATGGATATCTTCAATCAGAAAAAATTCCAAGAAAATCTCATTGGAATCATCATTTTAGTTTTCCAGTTATCCTTTTCAATTTTCTTTCTCTTTTCTTATGTATTGTCTGTCCAGGGATCCGTGATCTAAGACAATTGTTCAAGTTCGAAATATATTTTCGAATTTTACTTTTTATTGTTGAAATTTTACCATCAACAATAATTTTATCTAATATTTAATAACACAAAATAAACATTGTATTTATTACTTCATGATTATATAATCCATTGAATTAATCGTATTACAATCCCATCATTTAAAGTAAATGCACTCATACTATATAAGTTTATAGAATATAAACTATTTAATATAAAAATATATATATTGTATATATTGCAAGAAGGTTCTCACATCTAACAAAAAAAAATATATATATATTGTAAATTTAAAATACAAACAAACACTTCTATGTTTTATATTATATTAGAAATTTATACAATACTCTCTCCGTCCCGGTCAAGATGACCCATTTGCTTAAGGATACGGTATTTTATGTAGTGTAGATTAGTAAGTTATTAATAATAAGTTATGATATTATTTTATTATTTTTATATGAGTAGTGTTGTTGGCATTTTAAATATTTTTAACATTATATATCAATAAAATATATATAATATGAATATTATTTTATAGAGAATAAAATTTTATATAATACAAATAAATAAAAAATTAATTAATTAATTTATAATTAACTTAAACTAATTTTATTAAAAATAAGAAGTTTTAAATACAGATAAAAATATTTATTTATTGATGAGAGATATAGAAATAAAAGGGTTTTGGGTGAGTCCTACGTGCAGAGATTAGAAATTTAATTAAATTGATTTATATTTGTTAAATATGTTTAAGATGAATAAATTTACTAAAAATAAAAAAGGGTCATCTTTAATTGGACGGACAAAAAAGGAAAAGAGGTCATCTGTCTCGGAACGGAGGGAGTACATATTTATACTATATCAAATAATTATAGGGTTTGTTTGGTTCGGGTTGTTTGGTTCACATATGTTTTTTATAGGATTCAGATTTTAATTATGATTTAAAGTAAACGCACACATACTTCTTGTATTTAGGATTTGAAATTCCTGTTTAGTTGATAAAATTATCCAAAATTTATATTTCTCAAATTCAATTTATTTTGCAAATTAATTGAAAATTTTGAATTATTTATATTTTAAATGACATAATTACCATTTTATGAATTTTATTTATTGTTAAATTTTATATCCATTGGTTTTTTTACCTATATTTATTTTTTTTTACAAAAATGGGTGTATTCTAATAAAAAATAATTTAATAAGATTTTCGATTAACACTAAAAAAATATAATATATATATAAATTTATACAAAATATATACTATATAATTATGCTAAAAAATACATTAATTTAACATAAATATTTTTTATACTACCGACACTCATTTTCATATTTAATATAAAAATACTTTAAATTAAAAAATAAAACTCATTAACCAATAAAATAAATTTAAATTATTAATTTATTTATAATATTATTAGTAATATAATTAAATATAAATAAAATTAATAATTATAAAGAAATAGAGAATTTTTAGTAATATCTTTAAATAAAATAGAACCAATAAAGGGTATGTTTACTTGTATAACTTTACACTTGATTTTACTATTTTAATTTATTTTTATTTCAAAAATATCAAATCAAACATCTAATTTTTCTTTATTATATTACACTAAAATTTAATTTTACATTCAAAATATCACATCAATACATATTTATATTACAATCAAACAATTATTTCAATTCAAAATTTTACTATTTAAAAATAAAATAAAAAACTAAAATCTTACAAGTAAATACACCCAAAATATAATTTAAATATAAATATATACATATAATATTATACCAAAAAAAGATACGATTTTTTTTGTTGGGTGGGGATACAATTGTAAAATGTGAAATACATTGGAAATATAATTTAAAAGTAACAGGTATCCTATTAATAAAAAAATTTATTTGCAGAATTTTAAAATCTCATTTACTTAAAAATTTATCATTTATTTTGTAACCAAACATAGATTTCTTAAGTTTCCAAATCTCATAAAATCCACCAACTTCACAAACTAAACAATCCCCAAAAACAAAAATATCAATAATTTAATACTTTATTTATCCGTCGTCCAAACTTATTCTAACTCTTTTTTTTTTGTTGTAATTAAAACTTATTCATGTTTCTCTTTCTAGTAAAAAAAAAAACACCTTTTATATTTTTTTATCGTAAAAAATATATATATATATTTTTACTCATTTATTTTAAAACTCGTGCCCCAGTCAAATCGGTATAAATTTACATGACGGATGAAGTAGAATTTAATTAAATTTGTAACTTGAATTATTATGCCATTTGTCTCACTTAATTTATCAACTCTTTTTTTTTTTTTATCTGTCCTGTCCTACTTTGTCATTTTTTTATATATAATTATACACTTTAATTATATTTTAAATTTTATTTTAATTAAATTATTTAGTTATTTTTAATTTTAATATAAAATTATTTTTATTAAATTATAATTATTTTCATTAATATATATTTACTAATTATATACTCCTTCTGTCCAATTTCTATTATCTTTCTTTCGTGTGTTCCCGGGAGGAATTCGATCTCTTCAATCTCTCCATACCACCTAAATAAGAGTCAAATAGGTCGGAAAGAATAGAGCATATTAGGATATGGGTCGGGTTGATAAAGTATATTTGCATGATTTTTTATGTGATTGTCTATTTGTTATGAATTGACAAATTTGCCCATAATTATATAATAGAAATTAAAAATAATAAAAGAATGAAGGGTAAAAATATAAAATTTGTGTTTAGAAAAAAAAATAGAATAATAATTATTGCACATTCCAAATAAAAAATAGAATATTAGTTTGTAGACGAAGAGAGTAATAACTAAAATATCGTGCAGAGATAAATTAGTTGGTAAAATTTTGTGCAAGGACAAATTAGTATATGTGAAGTATATATTTGTTAATTATTACTCCCTACGCGGATGGCTTGTGAAGCTTCTCCACCGCAGTGGCAGTGCTGACATGACGTGACCAAGCATCTACGGTGCAGATAGGAATTCGAATTATAGGATGCACACGTCAGGATTATGTGGCCATCTACCTCTCTATCGGCGGTCTGTACACCTATCGTCTCCTCTCTAAAAATTATTTATTTTAATAAAAAAATGAAAAAGAAAAAGAAAAATATTCCTATATATACACTATTATTGTTATTAAGAAATTAGTTAATGGTATAAGAAAAGTAAAAAAGGAATATCCGGAAGCATAAAACGGGGTGAGTACAAACTACCCGCCTATTGGGAGGGAATATTCGGGCGGGGATGGAGATCATCCTTAAATAAATAGCCCATCCATCCATGGCGCTAGATCTGTCTATGATCCCTTCCCCATCCCCACCCCCAATCAACAAATAATTCCAACAATTTGCCCTCCCTCATCCTCCCTCCTTCTCCAATCATCACCCATGGCTCTCAAAGCGGTTCACGTTTCCGACGTCCCTACTCTCGATCACGTCCCCGACAATAATGCTCTTTACGCCTCCCGTTTCACCACGCGTATGCAACCAATCTCGCTCTTAATTTTGTTGGGGGTTGTTCTTGTGTTTGAATTGGATTGTTAGTTAGTTATTTCATTGATTGTGCAGCAGGTGTTGAGCTTGGCAGGGGGGCGTCCTTGAAGGATCATAATAATAAGAAGTTTCTGGTGATCGGGCACAGAGGGAACGGGATGAATATGTTGCAATCATCCGATTTAAGAATGAAGGCCGTTAAAGAAAACACTATTCTCTCCTTTAATACCGCCTCACAGTACCCCATCGATTTCATTGAGTTTGACGTTCAGGTACGACACGACACACGCACTACTCTATTCGTTTATTCATTCAATGCGGCGCCTTACGCCACATCACATCGTCGGCCGGTCGGTCGGTCGGTCGGTTTTCATTACTATTTATTTATGTATTAATTTATATCCCAGCCGGAATCTTCAATTTGGTTGATCGTTTCTTCTCTAGTTAGTTCGACTTGTATAAGTATAACCAATGCTACAGCCGTTTCGCTTCGTTGACTTTATTGTCTCTCTCTCGCACTGTCCATGTTTATTCTTTTCCGACTTTCATATGCCTCTCTCAACTCTAGTCTAGATCGATGACATAAGTAGGCAGGCAGGCTGTATTGTTGATGTTCCCCTTGCTTCGTAGATTTGATTCATATTATAATTTATATACTGATGATTATGTTGTTTTTCTTTCTTTCTTTCTTTTTTCAATTTCATCCGTCTATGTTGTCATCTTCGATCCGTTCTTGAATGAAGAGTACTCTGTACTTACTTTGTACGAGGGTTGAGACTTGAGACAGACAAGTGAAGAAAATGAAATCTGATTTTTGTAGGTGACAAGCGATGGGTGCCCCATCATTTTCCACGACAACTTCATCTACACGGAAGAGAAAGTAGTAAGTTGTTGTTGTTGTTTGTGTGACCGATTTTTTATTGTCGTGTGTAGTGTAGTGTAGTAATGACTGATTGAGACATGGCGGTTTCAGGGGAGGACAATAATATCCGGGAAGAGGGTTACGGAATTATCTTTATCGGAGTTTCTTTGCTATGGACCTCAGAGAGAAGATGGAAGGGAGGGGAAAGCCCTGTGGAGGAAAATGAAGGATGGCAAAGTTGTGAATTGGGCGGTTGAAAGAGATGATTGTGCGTGCACTCTGCAGGAGGCATTTGAGAGGGTGAATCCTGCTCTTGGGTTCAATATTGAACTGAAGTTTGATGATCACCTGGTTTACACACAAGACTATTTGACGCATGTCTTGGAAGCTGTACTGGAGATTGTCTTGAAGCATGCCAAGGAGAGGCCTGTTATATTTTCCAGTTTCCAACCAGATGCTGCTCTGCTTGTGAGAAAACTTCAGAGCACGTACCCAGTAAGAATCCATCAACTTGTTATTTATTTGTCGATTGCATAAATACAAGATAGGTTGCATTTGTTGTGACGAAGAAGATGGTGATGATGATGATATTAATAATATTATCTCAATCTGAATCAGGTGTATTTCCTGACAAATGGAGGAAACGAGGTATACGAGGATGGTAGGAGGAATTCGTTGGATGAAGCTATCAAAGTGTGTTTGGAGGGTGGGTTGCAAGGGATTGTTTCAGAAGTGCGTGGGATCTTCAGAAGCCCAGGCATGGTCAACAAAATAAAAGAGGCCGGCATCTCTCTGCTCACATACGGCAAATTGAAGTAAGAAGTAGTAGCATGAAATCGAGTGTTGTTGGTTCATGTATGTTAAATATATTATAATTGGTTTGTCGGTTGATTGGTTTCAGTAATGTGGCGGAGGCTGTGTACATACAACATTTAATGGGCATCAATGGGGTGATTGTGGATTTGGTGAAAGAAATAAGTGACGCTGTAAGGAAGATGGTGACTGATGAAGAAGAAGAAGAAGAAGAAGAAGAACAAGTGATAGAGATATTATCGTCGTCATCATCATCATTGGAAGGGGAAGGAGAAGGAGAAGGAGATGATGATGATGATGGACAGCCGAAGAAGAAGCAGCAGCAGCTGCAGCGGCCCCAATTCTCACAGAGGGAGCTGTCATTCTTGTTGAAGCTCATACCTGAATTACTGCAATAGTTTAGTTTAGTTGAGAGTTGAGCTTAGCTGAGCTGAGCTGCTAATGTAATACCTACTACTCACTCATACTACTAGAGACTATAATATCTAATCTCCAATTCCTCATTCTCTATTATTAATTAATTTATTAATTAACTCTCTTCTAAACCCTGTATCCAGGGCCCAGGGGCTATTATTATTATTATTATTATTACTATAATTATTATTGTTAAATTTGATTTTCCAACGTAATAAAAATGAATTCAAAACATAACTTCAAACTCGATTTTTGGACTTGAGATGATAGAATTTTTAAATAGCATATTTAATTTTTGGTGAATATTATAAATTTTCCAACGGCTTCAAGAAACGTGCTTTTAATTGGCCCCTCAAATAAATTGTATTTTTTTAAAAATAAATTCGACAAGTCTGTGATGCTCAGTGTTTATTTGTCATTTCGTTTTTAGTGTATTAGGTGTGGGTGAAAGAAAACTAAATAAGGGTGGTTGAATATAAACAAATGATGCATTTATAGCTATGATGTTGTGATTTGTCTGTTGTTTATTAGCGGAAAAAAAATTGGCACTAAATTTTTAGGATAATTGAGTTGAAGTATGAGTGATTTTATTGATGTTTTGGTGGGAATATTGTTTAGCACAGAAGATGAAATAATTTCTTCGGTCTTTATTTATTATTTTTTTTTTTAAATTAAGAGAGAATTTTGTATTTTGTAATATAGGTGGTGAATTAAAAAAAAAAAAAAGTTCAGTAATTTTTTTGTAAAATTTCTATATTTTTATTGAATTTATTTTATTTCATTTAATGAATTGTACCTCCACTATTATTCATGTAATTAATCTAATATATATATATATATTTACTAATTACATTCTATCTAAAAAATTTTTGTCCAATTAGTTTGGACAGAAAGGAGGAGTAGTATTTATTAAATAAAATAAATAATAAATAATTTATCAATCATTCCTTTAATAATTTTTAGAAATTTATAAAAATAAAAAATTGATCAATTATTTATTATTATTTTTGTTAAATTTAGTACAATAAATATGTACGGAATAAATAAAATATAGAATATTTTATGCAATTATATTAAAATACGAAAAGTATTATGCAATTTATTCTTATTATATTTATACCTAAATCTATCAAGAAGTATTTTTTATTCAAATTATTATATCAATCAATACATTTCACTTTAATTAACTATAAGTCATCACATGATTATTACAAAAATCAACTTACAATCAAACCTCAATTCAAACATTTCAATTCAAAAAAAATTCAAATCCAACTAAAAAAAACTTAACACAACTCAAATTCTAATTTGAAAAGCACCCCAAATTTAAATTCTTATTATTATTTTTATATTATACAATTGAAAATTCAATTCAACACACAAAATGTCACTTCCGTCGGCTTAATCGAAAAAGCCGTTAGAATCGATTCATTCGAAGGGTTCCTCGGCCTCCTCAAAAAAGGATTCGGGCTATCTCGTGATAAATAAATAATTAAAGTAAAAAGAAAGCAAAATAAGATTAATAAACAATAAAGAAAATTGAAAATTAATTAATAGGGAAAAACGGTAAAAATATGGAAAAATACAGTAAAAATAATACAAGAGACAAATTATGAAAAGAAGAAGATCATGGTCAACGTAGTATGTTACTTATGCTCTTAGATCGTGATTTTATTGTTATTATTTTTTGTTGAATTTGTTTGAATAAAATTTTATCCCTATTTTTTCTTCAACAACTTCAATCCTCTTTCAACGACTTCCACATCCTTCTGACCGAGCTTCGTTTTCCTGTTGGGCCATCCTCAAGCTGAGCTGGGCCCTTAACATTGGGTCAGGCGGGTCGGCAAGCTCGTTCGCTGATTTGGGCTAGCTTGGCCCAGCTGGAAGCTGGGCTAGAAATTATTCTTCTTAGGATGTGCTTGTATTCAATTAATTTTAGGTGTGTAAAAATGCCCCCCACAAAATCATTTGGACAAGAATTAACTTGTTCTCCTGATGATTTTGTCAAATACCTGGTGTTTTCGTGCTTCCTCGGCTTGTCCGAACATTTTTTTTGCTTCTGGAAAGTCATCGCTAACTATAGTCTAATTGTGTTTTCCTTTCAGCTCCCAAAGAGAAGGATAAAACCTTTTAAGATGTCTTCCATTGAAAAACGTCTTCAGCTCTTCCCCTTCGGGCTCCATCAATCTATATGCGCCGTTAGATGACTTGACCGATATGATAAACAGCCCTTCCCATGTGGGGCACTACTTCCCGAGCTTCGCAACTTTGGGACCTTCCGGGAGGATAGCCTTCCAAACCATATCACATTTCTGGAAGGTTTGAGGCCTCACGCGCTTTTGGAAGGTTGATTCGGCATTCCTCTTTTGATGCCGAATGTGTTCAAGAGCTTGCAGTCTCTCTTCGGGGCAAGACGTCGAGCTCCTGGAGCAAGGTCTAGTCCTGCTCTCCCATCGGCAGCTGGTTCATCTTCAAGATTCGGAGAGAAGACACTGTAATTTCCAATGGAAGCACAACGTCATGGCCATAGGTCAACCTATAAGGAGTGCTCCCAGTTACGGAGGATTTGGTATTCTGATATGCCCATAAAGCCTCTTCCAAAGTATCATGTCAGCACCTCGGGTTGTCCTCCAGCGCTTCCTTAATAATGGAAATCAAGATTTTATTCGTCGCATTAGCTTGCCCGTTAGCCTGAGGGTAGTACAGAGAGGAATAGAGCAGCTGGATTCCGTATTGGGCTGTAAAAGTCTTGACCTTCGCGCTCATAAATGCGGTCCATTGGTCGGTGGTTATCATCTTTGGAATGCCAAACCTATTAATGATGTTATTCTTAACAAAGCGTATTGTACCTTGGCCAGTGGAACAGCTTCCGCCCACTTTGTGAAGTAGTCGGTAGCAACAAGAATGAAAGAATATCCCTTGAAAGATGGAGGATGGATTATTCCGATCATATCCATCTCCCATCCATGGAACGCCTAAGGTTTAACGATTGAATTTGATTAAAGCATACACAATGGGGCAATTTTTCATGGCTTCTCTCTTGTTTAGAGGCCAAGCTTTCAAAAATTTATACACAATAGATCATCTTTCTAAATTGTTGACACAAAAAAGCTTGGACAAAGTTTGATAAAGTAGAGACAGATGAATTTTTCCCAATCATTCTTTCCGAATTTTTTTCCATATGAGAGAGAGAGAAAAATATACATTATTGTGTAAAATATATAATTAAAAGCATAAATACACACTTAACACATGGATTATACATATATTTTTCTATTTCAAAATATCAATTTTATATTTTAAAAAAAAAATTTATACATTAACTTTTACTTAAATTATAAACATACCGTATAATTATTTTATACAAAATTAAAAAAAAATATCGAAACCTTTTAAACACATATCCTAATCAATAAAATACAAAAACCGGAAGTGCCCGTTTGAAAATGGAACACAGGCAGTATCATATATGGACAGAGGGAAGTAATAATAATTATAACACAGTCCGACCGGATCGGACCGGGCTGGGTAAGGCGTAACCCAGCGACGCCTGACGAGACGAGACGAGACGACTAGTTTCTACTGCCTGTGCCTGTTCTTCTCAATTGCGGCGCATACCAGAATTTTGTTCCCATCTTTCTCTCTCTCTCTCTCTCTCTGGGTTTTTTCCTCTCCCTCCGTCCCGTCCCCTCCCGCCTTGTAATTTTGCCTGCCTGCCTGCTTGCCCTTCTGCCTCTCGCTGATGCGGTTTGATTTGATTTGATTTCATTTGATTTGTCCTTCTTTTCCAAGTCTCACGGGGCTGCACTGCAACTGCAACTTCCGGAAGTTCTTATTACTCCAGAGATGAAATCTCCGTTCGGGAAGCTCAAAAAGATCGGCCTTAACAAGGGCGACCATAAGGAAACTTTGGATCACCCAATTCCGCTGCATATTGATGCCTTAACTCAAGCAGCAAAGGTGGATCTTTTCCTTCAATACTTACTTGTTTTTCACCCACTTTGTTTCTGCTTTTGACTTTCGCTTTACTTTCTACTGCATCCCAATGTATTATTGTTATTCTTACAACCGCAATACTTGAATTGACCGCCTAATTTCGATGCAAATGTTGACGCTCTACTTCACAAAACTGCCATATTTCCATGCCAATTGCGTATTGGAACAAATTAACACTTGTGTAATTGATTATTGTCGGAGTTGAAATTACACAATTCCAGCCAAATGTTAATTTCCTGCCCTTAGAAGCTCAAGTTTCGATATATTTTAGGTAATTGAACTAAACTTTTTTGTTAGGTTGTATAATCAAATATGTAGATTGAGCTGTACAAGCCAACATCCGAAGCTATCATGTTGTTCTATTCATTTCTCTTTTCATACCAAGGCTGCCACCCAAACGTTGCCTGTTAGAAACTCAGGGTGTTTATTTTGAGGAACCATCCTGACAGCCTACTCAATACCATATTGATCTTCTTTGTTCTCGCCTTCTAATTCGGATGAATTCTCTTGCAGGATATGAGAGACATGAGAACCTGTTATGATAGCTTGCTATCAGCTGCTGCTGCCACAGCAAACAGCGCATATGGTACTTATCTGATATGATAATGTATGTGGAATAGAGTTTTTGATCGAGAAGCTTGTTCTCAAGTATGAATTATTGACATGTTGCCAATGTTTGTCCCTTAGGTGGCTCTCATGGATTTAAAAACATGGTTTTTCCTTCTAAACTTACTCTGTTCAGCTAGCGACCTTCTAATTATCTACCACACTTTTTGAAATGTTCCGAATGTTAAATTTCAGCTGCTTCTTACTCAGTTATTCCCATTGTGACTATAAATTATTTACATGATTGGGCACACATGCGTCTTGCTTTAATAACTTAACATACTCTATGCTATAATGCATAATATATTGCTTTATTTTTCATTCTAAAAGATATACAATTTACCATTGGCATTATATTTCTCCTATCAGAGTTTTCAGAGTCTTTGTTGGAGATGGGGAACTGTCTACTGGAAAAAACTATCATGCATGATGATGGAGAAAGTGGTAAGTCAGCATCATCTGCTAATAGAAACTAAACTGGTCACTGAAGATAATGCGATATAATATTGTGGATATCATGTGTCTCTGTGTTTTTTATGCTAATACATGAAGCCCAGTGAACCCACCTTATAGCAGTTTGAGTTTTGAATATTATACTTATTGAGTTAATTTGTCTAGAGATGATGCTTAATCAATGATGAGTACCTACTTTTGCCAACTAAGGGTGTGTTCTTATATCAAACTTTACAAAATTTCTTCTTTATCATCAAATTTTTTTTTCCCCCAAAAAATCAAATCAAAACACTTATTTTTTATTTTTTATATTATACTAAAAATCAGTTTTACATTCAAAACATCACATTAGTACTTATTTATATCGCATCATACAACTATTCAAATTCAAATTTTTTACAATTTAAATTTCAAACCAAAATCCAAACCACCCTAAATGAACTTTCTCATAGAAATGGATGCTGAACTCTAGTTGTTCCATAATTTTGTTTCGAATCATGAACCTAAAACAACACATCGCATTATATCATTGTGATCCAATACTGATCAAGCTAAATAGAGTTGGCTTGTTGTGCCAAACACATTATTGGCGACTCTTAACCTACGCTTTTCCTGTAATTGTATGCAGGTGGAACATTATCAATGCTGGGAAGAGTGCAGCTTGAACTTCAGAAACTTGTTGATAGCTATGTTAGTAATTGTTTTGTCTACCATTTGTAGTTACTTTTCTATTGAACTTGGTGATAGCTTTCTATTATCTGATGTACAGCGATCCCAAATTGTCATGACAATTACGAACCCATCAGAGTCGCTTCTTAGTGAACTACGAAAAGTGGAGGTTTGAGTAATTATTTGTAGTATGTATTGTTTTCTTTTAAGCTGTACAATTTGAATGTTGCTCACAAATTGGTTTCTATATTGCAGGAGATGAAATTACAATGTGATGAAAAAAGGTATATGTTTTTTCTTAATTGAAACAGGACATTTTCTCTTGTTTTACAGATGATGACAAACTGCATGCATTGTATACAGAGAAACATTTGAATACATGTCGGAACAATTTAGAGAAAAAGGGAAGTCAAAACATGGAAAAGGGGAGAGTTTCACCTCACAGAAATTGCAGGTTGTTCGTGAAGAATATGATGAGGTCGCAAGGCTCTGTATTTTTCGTGTAGAATCACTGAAGCAAGGGCAAAGCCGGAGCCTGTTAACACAGGCTGCTCGTCACCATGCTGCACAGGTTTTTCTTGGATTCTAAACATTTCAAGCTGATAATTCCATAATCTATTTCTGAAGTATTATCAGTAATTTGTGGTTATATTATTTATTTATTTTTTCAAAGCAGCTAAACTTTTTCCGGAAAGGTCTTCAATCTCTTGAAGCAGTTGAACCTCACATTAAGAATGTTGCAGAAAAGCAACATATTGATTATGATCTTTGTGAACCAAATGAAGGACAGGAAGGTGATGAAGGGAATAGTTTCAAGAGCAATGATGATGGAGAATTAAGTTTTGATTATAGACAAAATAAGCTCGAGCCAGATAATACTTATGCTATGAGGAACTCAATGGAGGTGAGTTTTGCTTTGCTAGGCATCAAAATTGGTTATTACATCTGTTTTTATTCTACCTATTAAACTGCCAGCACTTTATTGTTGTAATGTGACTCTCCAATGTAGTGGTGGCTATTGTCTTTCAGGGCTGATTGTTAAAGCGTTTGATAGTAGGGATTATGAGTGATATGGTAACTTAATTTATGAATGTGCTTGCAGTTCAGTGTGGTTGGGTATACCCTTATTCTTCATCTTAGACCTATCATTATAGTTCTAGCACTTCCCAATTAAGTTTCCATTTCAACATTAGGGCTTCTTTTTGGAACATTGAATGGCTTATTTATGCATTAGTATTCACAGTTCATTTTATGCACAATGAAATAGCACTGAATTCCAATTAAATAATTTATGGTTGTGTGTGTTATGTGTAAAGTTTCGATAATGTCTAAAAGTATATATCTACACTCCATTCTTATGTGAATAATGTCTGTTATAAATACACATACACGGATGGTTATTATACTCGATAATTTATTTGGCTAACATCTTTAATTGATAAATTTGAATGCTTAATTTGATCATGTCAATTGTTTGTACTTTTGGTGAGCTATTGCCCAGATATCACCTTCTTATTTCCACTATGAAGTTCAATGCGTTGACCAATGAAGAACTGGTGCCAGTTATTATGATTTTCTGTTTAATGTAATATACAGATGGATCCTCAAATACTCAGTCAACAACGCCGAGCAGGTAGTCATTCTGCTCCAATCTTCGCAGAGAAGTTTGATCCAGCTGACAGAAATAGGGAAGTGCGAAGTGCTGTGCCTAAACTTAATACGCATGTCCTGCCCACTCCAGCTGATGCAAAGAGTTCAATGGCAAGTAGTTCAACACCCCTTGCAAATACTGCAGTGCCGGTTGGGAGCTCAAAAAATCTGTGGCACTCGTCGCCACTGGACATTGGGAAGCAAAAAAAGTTGATGGATGACCATTTATTATCCGCACGCAGCTCTTCAAAATCTCAAACAGTGCTGGAAGAGAGCAACAATGATAAACACTTGTTCCCACTGCCACGTCCTCTTACTGAGGGAGCTCCTCTCCCACAGTATGATACACACAGTGGATTTGAATCTAAGAAAATCAAGAGGCAAGCCTTTTCTGGTCCATTAGTTAGCAAATCATTATCGAGCAAGCAGTTGTTGCCTACTAGTGGACCCATTAGCTCTTCTGAACCACCTCAGGCAGTTTCTGGATTGCTTTCTCATGCATCTGGTCCTCCTCAGGCTCCTTCAGTTCTTAATGTGCCTCACAGCGTTTCCCCTCCCCCTGTTTCTTCACCTAAAATTAGTGAGCTTCATGAGCTCCCAAGGCCACCTGAATCATTTAGTGCTAAACCTGTACGTGCTACCCTTGGACACTCTGCCCCTCTGGTCAACAGAATCCAAGAGGTGTCTCCAACGAAGAGGAATAATGTTCTAAGACAATCAAAAGAAGGGTCTCCACTCCCACTTCCACAGTTGACAGTCTCTCGAAGTTTTTCCATACCCTCTAGAAGTCAGAGGGAAATGGTTTCACATTCATCAGAGAAACTATTGGAACCTTCTCAAGCTGTGCAGAATAATACAGAAGTTGCTTCCCCTCCGCTAACACCTCTTACCCTGTCAAACATGAAGTCACCGATATCTGGACAGATTAGAGGTATAAGTAGCAATGGCATGTAGTGACATAATTATCTCTCAAATAGTTTTTTTTTTTTTATTTACTTTAGTGTGTGTAATCTATTCCAGATGATTACATCGCGTCTTTGTAGTTTGCGTTGCATAAATTTTTTGAGAATTTAAGTTGGCAGCAGTAGTATCTTACAAATTAAGTTATGAGCTTCAGTGGTTGCAGGTAGCAGCTGAATGAATACACTCGTGGAATGAATATTTACAGCATTCTTTCAGGATTTGGTGGGATCTCAGTTTCTTGCTGGTGGTAAATGCCTCCCGTCTGTTCATACTATATATATATATATGTTTTATGACAGTTTCCGTATATCTTTGTATTTTCTTCAAATGCGGCCTCTGGTTGATGGTGATGATGATGATATATATAAGCTTCTTGAAGTTCTAACAGAGAAATTCATGGAAATTTTGAGGTTATGATATTTGTTGTTGTAGGGTGGGAGAGATAATTGTAGATGATGGACTGGTTATTTGTTTGGATGAAATATGATATTAGCTTAGTTGTTTGTTGGATGAAATGTGGTATTAGTATTTGTTTTAGTTTCCGGGTGGCATTAGGCGTAGTTTGATCAGATTGTATTTATGAATTTTAGAGATCACATATGCACGTTTGTGAGAGTGGATTGGGTCAATTAGGGCAATGATAATTAAGAAAGAAAGTGGTGGCTGGTTGATGCTACTGGACGGGGCTGACTAGCGAGGTAGTTGTGGATAAAGAATACATTCTTTTGAGAATAATCATAATACTACTTTGTGAGGATTTTGATTGTAAGGGGCGAGCTTCACTTTACAAGGAATCTTTGATTAAAGCTTTAGCTTAACTAAGGGATGGGATGGGATGGGATGCGATGAGATTCAATCCAAAATTTCAATATCCCATTAAATTAAATTAGGTCTGAGAATGATCTACTTTATTTACTCTATTGTCGTTATTGTTATTATTATTATGGCAATTGAATGAATGAGTGAAATGTGTGAATAAATAAGGCAGTGTGATTCATAGAGGTATAATGCATATGTCTGCAATGAAGTGATGAGGTGTGAAAAAGAGTAGTAGAAAAAGAAAGGATGGGAGGGACCACACACTCACACACAAACAAACAGAGAGGGAGAAAGACTGCTTTGTTATTATAAACTTTGCCATTTTAGTGATGTGATGAGTTATGATTGCTGCTCCTACTACTACTATTCAAACTAGCTTATTATAAAGCCTTTTCACATGGACTAGGAGGGAGGGCAATCAGTAAATTATTAGTGATTGATAAATAATTCATATGCATTGAGAGTGGAGAGAGAGAGAGAGGGATAAATAATTCATATGCATTGAGAGAGAGAGAGAGACAGAGATGGACGCATATCTCAGTGACAAGTGTGACACAGTCACAATCATAATCATATAATAGACATGTTTGCTTGTTTATTAATGGGAGGGTGGGGGTGTTCATTGATTGCAATTTGCAATTTGTATTGAGAGTAGAGGGGAGTAGGAAGGCAAAAGTAGTAAAATGTGAGAAGGAAGAAGATGATGCAAATGCAGTTTTGGTGGAAGCAGGAGTGGTGAATCTTGTGGGTTTGGTGCTGTGTATTATTCCTATATGTATCCCTCTGATTGGACACTGCAGCCATCTCTGTCTCTATCTCCATCTCCATCTCATCTATTTGTCTAGTCTGTCTCTCTTTCTCTCTCTCTCTCTCTCTCTCTCTCTCTCTCTCTATATATATATATATATATATCAAAATTCTGATATTACACGTCTTCTTCTTCCATCTCAATATCTCAATCTTCCAGTCCCGTGCATATAGATATAGAAAGATAGATAGATAGATATAGTGGTTGCAGCTTACACACGGATGTCCGCCCCATGCTCCCCATGTCTTGTCAAATTCAGAAACTTTATCTCTACTTACTCTCTATTCTGCTCGATGCTTTGCTTGCTACTCATTACAATTCACACAGTCGCTATCGCCCCGCCCTCCCCCCTCCATTTATTACTATTTTAATTTGTTGATACTGCCAAGCAAAGTGTTCCATGCATGCATGTACGTACCGCACCTCTCTCTCTCTCTCTCTACAGAAATGAACAAATAATAGTAAGCTAGCTAGCAGCTATATCTATTATTATTACTCCCTTCGTTCCATGTACCGTGTCTGCTATACTGTAGACGAGGTATTTTAGAACGCGGTATTTTAGAAGGAGTGTAATTAGTAGATAATTAAGAATGTATTAGTAAAAATAATTATCCTATAATATAAATAATTATAAATTAAGATTAAGATAACTAATTAGTTTTATTAAAAAATTTTAAAAAATAAATTAAAAAGTTTAAAATGAGATTAAAGTGTATAATGATTTTAAAAAAAAGGAAGAGGACATGGTATCTGGGACGAAGAGAGTATTATTTACATATATAACGGGCGCACGCACACACAAGTTTTTTCTTTCGCACACAGAGTTCTCTCTCATATATATATATATATATACATATAATTGATTGGCCGTACAGGCGTCCGTTCCTATGAATGGAGGCAGCTAGATTAATAATTTAAGTTTACTGCATGCATACATATACATATATATATATATATATTATGATTAGTAGTAGTAGTAGTAGTAGGTTATATATTAGTTGTTGTTGCAGTTGAGACTTCAGGAGGCCACTAATTGGATTGAGATGTGAGTTTGAAATGATAATTGTATCCTTACTTAATTATAGGTAACAAGTTAATTTAATAATAACCTGATTCCCGAATTAGGAGAAGCAAGTAATTAATTAATGGGAGTTCGAAAGCAAACCCTATACACAAGAAGCCAAACATTACCAATAAGTACTAAGTAGTAGTGTGTGTGTGTGTGAGCCAAAGACGCATTCTAACTCACTCCCCCCACTGCAGTTTATTGTGGGAGAAATAAGGACATGAACATCCATACACCATACCATACCATACATGCATTCATTCATTGATATATATACACATATATATTATGAGTAGTGCTTGGTGGGTGGCAGCCAAGCTCGCTCATGCATCACTTAACCAATTTTGCTATCTTCCTCCACCCACTTTTATTTCTCTCTACGGCATCCACATTATTATTTGATTAATTAATATATATATATATATATGTGTGTGTGTGTGTGTGTGGGTATTATTTATTTGCATCATTCATCCTTCATCATTCATTTCAAGAATATATGATATATGTATATATATTAAAGAATATGCATGAATAGATGTAGGAGTAGTAGTAGGAGTAGGAGTGTGTGTGAAGTTGAAGTTAATATTAATTAAATTCAAAATGATGGATGAATTGAATGAGATGTGGCAACTTCGGTACCAGGAATGACTGAGGAGGGAGGAATTATAATGATGAGGAAAGGAATGGTTTGATTATATATATATATATATGCATATTAGAAGCAGCAGCAGCAATCGATGTGAACTATTCATGACATGACAGACGGGCGGAAAGAGACAAAATAAAGTAACAAACTAATAATAATAATAATAATAATAATAATAATATTTATTAATTATGTATGTATGTAAATCCACATGATGAATAAATAAATAAATATATTAAAATAAACCACGTACTGTACTGGTAATCGTAATCGTAATCGTACTGGTACAGCTCCTACCACTACTACTGCTACTACTACTACTCACTCCCCTCCAGGCTCCATCCCTAGCTCTTGATATGTATATAATAATAGTGTGTATGTGTATGTATAGATGATTGCTATTGCCATTGGCAGCCAGATTCAAGTACTGATGCGTCCCTCCATTTCCATCCATCTTTGATACACTTGCACTTATATGTATGTGAGTGAGTGAGTGAGTTTGTAAGCAGTGCAGCAGCCACCCCTGCTCTCTCTTCTCCTCTCCATTCCTCTTTCCTCTTTGCTCTGCACTAACACCAACACTATAACACTAACATTACTGTCGTCTACTATCTATCTATATATCTGAATCTAGCATATATATATATATATATATATCCCATCACCAATTAATAATCTGCTGCTCATGCTCATGCTCATGCTCATGCTGATCCATATGTAACGACGTTTCAATTCCTTATATATCCTCCACCCACCAAGAGTAGAAACACAACAAAAGTAGATAACCCTAGCTAGCTAGGTAGCTTGTTGAACTAATGGGAGACCCCACCATGTACGATTTCCTCAAGCTAAATGCTGCTGCTAATTCATCGAGCAAAGTCGTGATGAATCCTCCTCCTGCAGTGGCAGCTAGTCCTAGTCCTCGCCTCTTCTCGTGCCTCTACTGCAATCGCAAGTTCTGCACCTCCCAAGCCTTAGGGGGCCACCAGAATGCCCACAAGCGCGAAAGAGCCGCCACTCGAACCACCACTACGCCTCACCATCCTAATAATTCAATGATGGCCGCTGCTCCTCCTCCTCCTCCCTACGGCGGCTATTGGTCCTCTCCATCAGCTCCTCATCATAGTTATTATACTAATAATAATAATAATAATGGAGGACAACCTGCTGCTGCGGCGGCGGCGCCTTTGGTAGATATTCACCACGAGGCCGATAACGACAATGGAAAGCTTGACCTCTCGCTTCGGTTGTGATTTATATTTATATTGATATGTATATGTATATGTATATGCATGGATGGATGGATTGGTCTAGAAAGAAAGAAAAAAGGAAAGAAAGAAGGTGCGTGGTGCATGGAAGGGTGGGTCAGAGTCAGACGCGCCATCGATAAAGGCTAATCTGTGACTACACTGTATGATCAGTATGTGCAGCTATCTATCTATCTATCTATCTATCTTCTTTAACAAACCGTTTAGTGATTAGTTCCCGACCTGACCTGACCTGACCTATGCTTTATCATTGTCATCATTATTTCTCATTTATTATTATTATGATTATTGTTGTTGCTGCTGCTGTGCTCCTCCCTGCCTCCCTCCCGCTGATGATCATGTCATCTTTATATAATAATAATGATCAGAAAAATGAGATGATATGTTGAAAAAACTCAAGCATAAGTTAATTAATTAATTAATTAATTTTAATTAATGGAGCAGGCAACATCATCCATATATATATATATATATATTTATATGTGTGAATGCGATGGAATGGGAAGGATCGTTGTAGTTAATTAATAATGCGGATATGGGGGTGGATCTGCGCGCTTCTAATGATTGATTATTATATATAGATGGTACGGGACGGGGAGTCACGTTGTTTTTCTAATTATTACTCTATTCGTGTTCCTATTTTTTATTTTCGTCTGTTCTACATAATTTGTTTCTTTTTTTTAAAATTAATTATACACTTTAATCATATTTTAAAATTTAAAATTTAATTTTTTTAATTTTAATTAAACTATTTAATTATTTTAATATTAATTTATAATTATTTTTACTGAATAATAATTATTTTTACTTATATATTTGTTAATTACTTATTAATTATACTTTATCTAAATTCTAATACACCCATATTACGAGCAATTATTACTATTATTATTGTTATTAGAACAGTAAAATACCGTTTTTTTTTTTTTTTTTTTGTTTCTCTTTCGTTATTCATATATGTGATAATTTTAATTTCTATATTATTAAAATGATAATTTTGATTTATTTCATTCTTGATAGTTGTAGTCTTTTGATTTTTAAAATGACAATTTTGATATTTTATCAATTAATATAATATAGATTTAGTATTTAACTATCATTTTTAAGAAAAAAAAAATCAATAGATATACTAGCTGTATGCATTATAATTAATACAAATAGATTATCTTTAAAAATTGTTTTACAAAAATTATTATCCTTACTGTATTTATTAACAAATTATGTATATGCTCCTATATTTAATATCATATTCCTATCCACAAATATATATTTTATTTTTTCTATGTCAATAATCAATTAAGACAAACAACTAGCTAGCAACTACATTATTTTAACCTAATCATTTTTACATCGAGTGTCTAAATTTGTTTTTTTTTTTTAAAAAAAACTTGTTTGACAAAAAATATTTGTTTGGGAATATTTGAAAAAACTAATAATATAAATTAATTTCGGATAAAAATTATAGATTATCTCTGTCAAAAAAATAGACTAGTAACTTTTAAAGATGAATTTTAATATTGTGTGCAATTTTTTAGTTAGGATTTTTAATAAAAAATAAAAAATTTATATTTTTATGCTATAGAAATAGTAATAATTATATTTTTTATTTTTTTTATTAAAACAATCATTAAGGACTAAAATTAAATTAATTTAACAAATAAAAGACCCAAATTGTTATTTAAATAATAGAGGGACTGAATTAAAACATTACTGAATAAAAGAGATAAAAAAATATATTTTACTTTTATTATTATATATTATTAATGAATAAGTATTTCTATGTCTCGAGAGAGAGGAGTATAGAGGAAAGACTATAATTGCAATGTATTCATCTAGTACACACATACACATTGTTATTTATCAAAGTTAAAATGAAAGCTCAAAGAATGGTCAAGACCTATTCAAAATAGCAGTGGAACATGAAAAGCTACGTGTTGTGGACAAATGGTGTAGGAAGTAAAAAAAATAAAAAATAAAGGGAGGCCCGATCAGCGATATGCTTCTTTTTTTTTCTTTTACTTCTTTGCTTTCTTTCTAGATTTCGATGTTCCTATTTTTCACCACTGCATTGTGTTATTTTTCCTACTTTTTGTTTCTTGACGATATTGAGCACAAGTTTTGGTTTGATGTTTGAAATTGGACCACCACTCTTGAAGCCCAAATGCATCGAGAAAAAGAATCCAGTTATGTAGCCAAGTGAAAGCTGGTCCGATCCCCCACCTTGATTAAGTTGTTGCGACAAACGATAAAGGGGAAATGTGGTATGTACAGCGGATGTAGCAAATAGATTCTATTTGTAGGAGATAAAATATCGATTAAATTGACATTGGTATGTATAAAAACAAAAATAAACTATATAGAGAAAAAAGGCTATGTATTTGTTCTTGATGGTTGAATAGAGTGAGGATGAATGAGTGTGTGTTCACCGAGGAAATCGATACAGCTCAATTGTAATCCAAATCTGTTCACCATGAAGAGTGAAAAAGCCTGCGTTGGGACCCTCCAAATGTAGGTCTTGTGCGACCGAACTGGGTTATTAATTTTATCTGTTGTTTTTTTTCTTTTTTTCTTAGAGAGTCTTCGTGCAGTTTGCTCGTCTTATGAACTGCCTGTGTAAATCTGTTTGCGTCCGTGTTTGTGCGGTTTGATCATTGATGTTGTTATTTGCTTGCCGTAACAGATTTAATCGAATTTGGGACCAACAATTGGTATCAAGCAGACTTCTCAACGCACTGAGGAGTGATCCATAGCCATGGCAGTAAAGAAAGAAAGCTTGATCACAAGACCTTCATAACTTGATGAAGAAAATGAGCCCAACGAATCTCTACAAAAAGGTCATGGTGGAAATAGAGTGGTCGAAGTTGCGGCATTCACTATGCAAGGTGATCAGAAAATTGTAAAGCATCTGAATGGTGATAAAATAGCGATGAATTATGAAGAGTTGATCGAAAACTATGAAATGGTGATTGCGGAGCATAAAATACTCATTTCTAAGTATGAGAATCTCAAGGTGTGTGTTGGTCATTTGAAAAGAAAAAATAAAACAGTGCTTAAAGTCAATGAGAATTTTACCGAAATGAACGATGAACTTGCAGCAGAAAATGAAAGATTGTCTTGGAAATTAGATGAACAACAGAAAATTATTAGAGTGCTAGAGGAGGAAAAAGAAAAATTAAGAAAATCATCGTTTGACGAAGGGGAAACAAAAGCTCGATGAAGTACTTAATTTTGGGAAACCCCATGGCAATTTTAGTGGGATATGATATGTCCACGGTGCTGGAACATCTCGAACCACATTCATCAGCAATGGAATGCTCACAGATTCTCCCTCACAGGGTAATTACAAAAATTCGAGTGTGAATTCGAAAGAGTCTGACAAGAGGAAAAATGTCAATAGACTGTTCAGACAGAAAATGAATTGTGTGTACTAAAAATTTCTAGAACATTATGCTATAAAGTGTGATCGAATTGTGAAGGATTTATTGCTTGGAAGGAGGATCCACTGGCCCTAAAAATATCTGAAGAACATGATAGTAATGAGATTGGAATGAAGACTTTAAATGACAAATAGAATTTCTAATGGCTTTGTGCACGCAGAACATTGGAATGGAGTCAGTAAATGTTAACTTCTTGTTGCTGTGAGAAATTCAACAAAATAAGGTAAAATCCGAAAATAGATTTCGAACTTGATGAATTGTGCCTAAGATTATGAATATGTAAACACCAGATAAGATAGTACTAAGGTCAAGTAACGAAAAAAGGAAAAGGAAGAAGTAATATAAAAAAAAAAGTCTAGGAGTTCTATTCTTGAGAGAGTGTGTGTTTTCTTCTCTCTACATCCGCCTATTTACAAGTTCGCCAACATCGGTTTCAGACGATTTGATTCGGTTACCGGATCATGGAGTAATCACTTGGCAGTTGGACCTAAACCTTCAACCACCGAAAATTGGCCACTTCAAAATGTTAGTGCCGCTCATTGGTTTTCGGACACACTGGCCGAATAGTCTTCAACCCCCGACTTTGTCACCCAATGGCCCAACAAAAAGAACTACGCAGTCCGTTGACCCACCAGATCCGCATCAAATCGACAAGACATTCGGGCACTCATTTTCCACCTTTTGAGCTCATGGGCCGAAATCCTAATTTTAGAAAAACCTAATGTCAGTCATTATCAAGTCTTCTCATTCTCTACAAGTTCTGCTTTGCTCCTCAAGTAAATCTTTTCTCCTTTGTAGGATCTCCTAACCAAATCCCACTTGTGCTTTCTGAAATCCTTGCAAATTGAACAATGGAGATGACATCAATCATCCCGTTTAACGGATCCGACCCCTATTTTGCTCTGAACGCATCTCTGGCCATCACTTTGGTAGTGTGGCCGTTAATTGCCACCGTGGAAGGTGGAGCTTCTACCCTAAAGTTCCTTCAGCATAACCGTTGCCTTGCCATTCACGACAGAGCTTTTAACCCCAGACAGCTCTGGGATGGGATCAAAACCAACCTATTGGATCCCAAAGACGAGTTCTGCACATGGTACGAGAGGATAGAGAAAACCTTCGGACAACAATGGCAGCAACAAGGACTGGATAAAGCTAGTCTGATGTCTACCCAAACCTTCAATATCCAAGATACCACATCCTGAGGATGACTACATTATGGGACACCGAAGTTAACGCCTTCCTCCTGCCATCGGAACCCATTGGCCCGACCCTACTCGATGTATCGATGATAGCTCATCTCCCAATAGTACAAGAAGACCCCATAGTCGGAATGCTGGAAGGCTTGGAGCTAGAGACCGACCACCCTAGATGGAACATCAAGGTCATGCTGAACAATAAGGTGGTGGCTTGGGGACTGTACGTCAAAATGCATTGTGGTGCCAAAGACACCCTAGTGACCGACGAAGAGCATGTCGTTTTCCTCTTGTACTGGTTCTGTAGGTATATCTCTTTTTCCCTTTCTAAAGTTACCAACTTGATAATAACTTATCATATGCGGGCCCTATAGGTACATTATCTGGCCGTCCTCAAAATCCATTACCTATAGCCACATTGACATTGCCATCCATCTCGCGAAGGGCTGATTTCTGTCAATCAGTACCCTTTTCCTAGCCTGCCTTTTTTATGGCCTCGCCAAGACCGTCCCGAAACTCTCCAGTTCCGCCAAACTTGATAACATCTTCTCTGGCTTTGTTTGATTTCTGGAACTCTGGTTCCGACTGTATTTTCCAACT